TGCAGATGCATATTGGCTCCTGGTTCTTCTTGCAAACACCTTCGTACAGCACATATATGGAGGCGTCGGTGCGACGAGCGCATCCTAACAGGCACTGGTTATCGTAAGTGACTGCGTCGGTTCCGCAAACTGGACGGAGATCATCGGTGCAGAAGCACAGCTCTTCGGATCTCTTTTCGACTACAGCTTTGCATTCTCCATGGTAGGCCAAAGTCAGTGTGGAATCTGTACGCTGTTCGCACTTCAAGCCGCACAAGTTTCCATAGGTGCGACCATCAGATCCACAGACTGGCCTGTAGTCGAAGGTACAGACGCAAGGCTCAAGGGCCACAGCAGCGGCGACGACGGAGATGAGAATTGCGATGGTCTTCATGATGCTTGAGTAAATTTAACTCTGAACTTCCGAAAGCATATCCTGACGATTTATATGAAATGTTATGTTTACTTTAAACTTATAGAACAATGCGAAATTTAGATAAGCATATACATAGCAGACAGGAAATTACTTTGTGTTTTCAGTAATGGAAAAGTTGACACTGTGATTAAGAAATTTAATTAAGCGTAACGAAATTAAAATTTCAAAAGAAAGTACTTTTCATACATATGATTTATATGGTTATTATAATAAGATTACTGTTACAATAGAAGTTGCAAAAGAGAAATATGACCAATTTAACATGAATTAACATGATTCATTTAAATAATTTTTATTAACACATTTTGGATGAAAAGGTTTTTTCCCGTCTTCGATAAATTAATTAAATTCTTTTGTAAGAAAAGCATTAATACTTTCTGAATTCATAATGAAAACATAAATTCAATCAATATAACAAAAAAATGTAAATAAATTTGATAGTGGATAAAATTTATATTTGCATTCATAAAAAAATAATATCGAATTCCAAATGTATCTGTTATAATCCAAAAATTGAATTCACTAACTTTGCATTGGTTTCATTGTAATTTTCAGTATTGGACTTTACTTCTAATTTCTTAGCAATACTCATAAATTTTAATTTTTATTTCTAGATGTAAAAATGATCTTCTATGCATATCATGATTTTATATTTGAGGTAAAATGTCTTACAGTAAGTTTATGCTCTAATATTCTTTTATTCAAATTAAAATTACATTCGTTATAAACAATTTAACATTTCTAGTATATGGTGATGTACAGGTTTGGTGCGCTTAGTGCAGTCAAAGCCGCATTGGTTACATCCGTTAATGGTAAGCTACTTGGCCTTTTACACAACTACCTTCGTAAAGCACGTACAAAATATTGTACAAGCGAGCAGCACATTCGAATAGACATCTGTTCATATAAGTTACTGCGTCGCTTCCGCAAACCGGACGGATTTCCTTAGTACAGATGCATGGTTCTTCATCTATTTCGACCGGTTCGCATTCTCCACGGTATGCCAAAGTGAGGGTGTCATCTTGGAACTGTTGGTACTTCAAGCTACACTCATTTGGATAGGTAAGACCATCGGATCCACAGACTGGTCTGTATACGGAACAGTCGTTCGGTTCGACGGCCACAGCCGCGGCGACGATGAAGAGCAGAAATGCAATAGTCTTCATGATGCTTAAATGTATTCAATCTGACTACTCAAAGCCATTTCCTGAGTATTTATATCAAAAGTTATATTTACTTAAAACTTGCAAAACAATGCACAATGCCTAATTTAGATTAGGAAAAGTAGTTGATTCCTTTAGATTTTTATTAGTGGCAAATTTGAACAAACTAAAAAAAAATAGTTTCTATAGTCTTCAAGCATAATTTTTAAATGGTATTATAGGATTACAATTAACTTTATTTGATTTAAACTTTCAATTAGTTTAATTACAATGGATTAAACTTAACTGAATTTATTCATTTATTTTTATTAAGAAAATCATTTAATTTAAATTCTTATTCCAATATATTTGTGTATCTGTTTCATAATTCTGAGATAATGAGAATGAGATTCTGAGATTTTAATATTTTAAATTTATGGATAAAATTCAACATTGTATGCAATTGGTTTAAACTGGCTTCACTGTAATCTTATGTAAAAACAATTTGTTTTATACTTGTAATTTCGTACAATGACTTAGTAACAAGCCTATATTTTAGTTCTTTATGTCTAATCCTGGTGTTACTTCAACATATTTTTGTTCGTAGATTAATCGTTTACGTGCATTTAATTGTATTTCAATTTGCCTAGGAATTTAGTTACTTCACTTACGATATTTGTCATTACATTATATGTTAATTTTTAAATGTTGAAAAATCATAATGCGTCAATGAGTCAAAAAAACTTTCAGAATCTTAAGACGTAGCAGTTAATTGCTTTAGTAAATTTTATGATCAAGTTCAAAAATTCCTAAAACTTTATCATTTTATCATTAATAAGCTAGTAGAAGAAAAATATTGGTAAATATGAGATAAGTTTAACCAAATTTGGGTAGAATATTGTAACATTAAAGAAAAGTTAAAGTGTTTGTTCAATTTTTCATTTATTCAGATTAAAATAATATTTGGGATTTCATTTAACATTCATCGTATTTGATGAGGTAGAGATCTTTCTTGGTGCGCCTGGTTAAATCGAAGTGGCATTTGTTGCCATAAGTGATTCCGTCGGAGCCGCAGATCGGATCGTATTCCATAGTGCAGATGGGCAATGGTTCTTGGTCCTTCGTGCAAGCACCTTCGTACAGAAAATGTACAGAGGCGTCGTATTTGCGGGTGCATCTCAACAGGCAGATGTTGTCATAAGTGACTGCGTCGGAACCGCAAACTGGTTTGAATTCCCTGGTGCAGGAGCAATCTCTTTCGCATTCTCCATCGTAGGCGAAAGTCAGGGAGGAATCTGTGCGCTGTTCGCACTTCAAGCCGCACAAGTTTCCATAAGTACGACCATCAGATCCACATACTGGATTATATTCGTAGGTACAGATGCAAGGCCCAAGGGCGACAGCGGCGGCGACGACGGAGAGGAGAACAGCGATAGTCTTCATGATGCTTGAGTGAATTTACTCTGATCTTTCAAAACTCATTCCTGACTATTTATATCAAAAACAATGTTTACTTGAAGCTTAAGAAACAATACTCCATCAAATTTAGATAAGAAAACGCCATTCAAATTTAGTTAATACAACATTGTTTATAGATTACACTTTGCAAGAAAATATGAAGCAAGAAGCAATTAGTTTCTATTGTCTTTATAAATTTACATTGGGTTTAAATGTTTCAACATGTAATATTTGCGTTATCATATCTTTTTTTGTTGCAATTTCTTGATACATTTCTTAAAGCATAACAAAAATATAATTTCATAAGTTACAATAGATTATTTTTTTGTTAAATGTGATTGTTACGAACAATGACAACCAGTCATATTTTATTTTATTATTAACACTTTTAAATAGTCATAAGGATAGTCTTCTTTTATAACATAATTATAATGTATTATACTGAATTTTAACATAAATCCATTTAATAACAACAAAAAATAACTTGGATAAAATGAATACTTGCATTCATAAAAAGGAATACTCTAATTCCAATCTATCTTTACTATGAAAAACCAAAAACAAAATGGATTTACTGGGTTTGGATTGGTTTCATTGTAATCTTGACTATTGGAAATTTGTTTTTCACTTATAATTTCGAGTCTTACCCTAGTATTAATAGTAGATTTTAAAATTTTATTTCTAGTTTTCTTCAAAGTTCATTTTTATACTGTGCGATGAAAAGTAGGTAGTTTTTCGTTTAAAAAATGAATACTCGTTACAAATATTTTGTTTAGTAGAAAATTTATAACTTAACGTTTAAATATTGAACTATGAAGAATAATATGAGTTAAAATTAGCTGCAATATAAATATTGTATATGTATTTTATTTAAAGAAAATGGGTAGATTAACAAAAATTAAAATTAAATTTGGGATAAACAATTCAACATATTCCGTGTTTGACGAAGTGGAGGTCGACTTTGGTGCGCCTGTGGAAGTCGAAGTCGCATTTGTTTCTGTAGGTGATTCCGTCAGATCCACAGATTGGTTCGTATTCCGTAGTGCATTATGTCTTTTGATCCTTCTTGCAAGCACCTTCGTAAAGCGCATAAACGGAGGCGTCGTTTTTACGGGCGCATCCCAAGATGCACAGGTTGTCGTAAGTGTTTGCGTCGGTACCGCAAACTGGATTGTATTCCTTGGTGCAGGAGCAAATTTCGTGGCATTCTCCATTGTAGGCCAAAGTTAGCGCAGAATCTGTGCGCTGTGCACACTGCAAGTCGCACTCGTTGCCATAAGTACGACCATTAGACCCACATACTGGCAATAAACTCAAAGAACAGGGGCAAGACGGATAGGCGATAGCGACTACGACGACGGAGAGGAGAACTGCAATAGTCTTCATGATACTTGAGTGAATTTACTCTGCTCCTTCAAAATTCATTTCTGGGTATTTATATCAAATTGCTTAAAACTTACGAAACAATACACTGTCAAATTTCGATAAGAAAATGCCATTTAAACTTAGTCGATATAACAATTTTTATAGATTACACTTTGATTGAAAAAATAGCAAGAAACAATCAGTTAATATTTTTTGTTGCATTTTTTTTTATAAATTTCCTAAAGCGTAACTAAAATGTACTTTCAAAAGAAAGTATATTACTATAAATTTTATGATACTATTATATTAAGATTGGTGTTGCAATAGATTATTTTTATTAAATGTGATTGTTAGGAACAATTTATGTACAAAAATGTATTATACTAACCAGTCACATTTTATATTATTATTAAGAAATTTGATTTTCACTTATAGTTACGAGTCTTAACTTGGTAATAGTAATAGATTTTAAAATTTTAATTCCAGTTTTCTTCAAAGTTCATTTTTTTACTACGTAATGAAAAGTAGATAGTTTTTAGTTTAACAGATATGTTTTTTGGTAGTGAATTAATAACTTATAAATATTATAGTATGTATGCCGATGTTAATTTAAAATGTATAGTTAATAAATATGATTTTTAATGAAACGGATGAAATTAATATGAACCGAATTAAGTTAATATTAGCTATAATATAAATATTGTATATGTCTTTTGTTTAAAGAAAATGGGTAAATTAATAAAATTAATGTGTGTTAATGTGTGTACTAATTTTTTTTTATTCAAGTTAAAATTACATTTGGGTTAAACAATTTAACATTCTCCGTATTTGACGATGTAGAGGTCTTTCTTGGTGCGCCTGGCTATGTCAAAACCGCATTTGTTACCATAGGTGATTCCGTCGGAGCCGCAGATTGGGAAGTACTCCAAAGTGCAGATTTCCACTGGTTTCTGATTCTTCTTGCAAGCACCTTCGTACAGCAAGAATACAGAGGCGTCGCTTTCACGGGCGCATTTCAACAGGCACAAATTGTCGTATGTGACTGCGTCGCTTCCGCAAACTGGACTGTATTCCCTGGTACAGCTGCATGGTTCTGCGGATCTCTTTTCGACTACAGTTTTGCATTCTCCATGGTAGGCCAAAGTGAGGGCTGAATCTGTGCGCTGTTCGCACTTCAAGACGCACAAATTTCCATAGGTACGACCATTAGATCCACAGACTGGCCTGTAATCGAAGGTACAGGCGCAAGGCCCAAGGGCGACAGCGGCGGCGGCGGCGACAACGGTGAGGAGAACTGCGATAGTCTTCATGATGCTTGAGTGAATTTACTCTGATCTTTCAAAACTCATACCTGACTATTTATATCAAAAACAATGTTTACTTAAAACTTAAGAAACAATACTCTGTCAAATTTAGATAAGAAAATGCCATTCAAGTTTAGTTGATATAACGAATTTTTTGAAGAAAAAAGCAAGTATCAAGTATTGTCTACATGCATTTACATTGGGATTAAGTAATTTTTGAAAACGTATTATTTACGTCATACCGTTGAAATTTTAAGTCACAATGTGACACAAATTGCAAAAGTATGTATATTTCCATAAATTACTTAAGGTTTTTATGAATAAATTATTTGCACAATAGCAATATGATAATTAATAAGAATGATTAAGAAACAGCAGTTGTTATAATAACTAAAGTCATATTATTCTTAGTTTAAAATATTTTAAATTAAATTAATTAAATATAATTAGTTTTTGTTTTCCACTTATAATGTATGTGCTCTTGAACGTAAATATTCTGTCCATATTATTAACTGCATTACGTTTTTGTCTAACGCAGAAAAGTAACATCTATTTTATTGGCAATCATTTTATTGTATGCAAATAAAAGTTATTAACTTTAATACTTATAACTGATTATACAATCATCAAGGACAGTGATGCAGGTGCATTTGGGGGCGATAAATAACTGTAAGGGAGCGGTGAAAGTTACATAAAAAAGCGCATAAAAGAAAAAAAAGAAGATTTAGAAAAATTGATTTCTAGGGGGCGCTTAGTAATTTTTTTTTCTGGAAATGGGGCGGTAGGCCAAATAAGTTTGGAAACCACTGATCTAGGAGTATAAAGAAAAGTAAAAATACTTTATTAATTTTTTGTTACGTATACGTCTTTTTTTATTTCAAATTTTCAGACTACATACTTTTTCATATATTTTTTATAATTAGATATTTGCAAATTATTATATTTAGAAAATTGATGATATTGTAATGTTACATAAATCTTAGTTCTAAATAAATTGTAAAATTATATTTGGGATAAACAATTTAATATTCTTCATATTAGACAAAGTGTAGATCGTAGAGATTGGACGGTATTACAACGTGCAGATGGGCAATGGCTTCAGGTCCTTCTTGTAAGCACTTTCTAACAGCAAGAATATGGAGGAGTCGTTTTCAATAGGCACAGGTTGTCGTATACGCCTTATTTATAACAAAAACTATCTTTTTTTAAACAGTGCATAATAATGTTGCGTCAACTATTAGTAGAAGATTTCGAAAAAGTATAGCTTTCAGGACAGAGTTAAACATAATCATTGAATTACATGGTTTTACAAAGTTTACTATGAAATTATGAAATAAGTACATTTAATTATTTCTTGGCACCTTTCTTTAAATATAAATTTATAAAAAAAACCTTTTCTATTGCAACAATCAAATAGAACATTACATCCCAATTTAAAGAATTCTGTAGTTACAAACTTAATATTTAATTAATTACGTTAAATATCCGATTAAAAAATCACTCAAGTATTTCATAGTCAAAAGAATGTGACTTGTTCAATGTTTGACTAAGTTTAATTATATTATTAAATTTCTGTACTATATTTTCGCGTTATTGTCTGTCTGGATTTTACTTTGCGCATAAATGTAGTTCGTTTTTAGTAACATGACAATTACTCAATAAAAATATATCAACATTTTTAGTTGTTGAAACAATTATTAACTTTAGGAATTAATAAATGATCCAATGAGTCTGAAATATTCTCTGACTCTTAAGATGTAGCAATTGAGTCAAATTATTATCAACTTTAAGTAAAATTACGATGAGATATTTATATAAAACTTAGATGTTACCTAAATATAAAATAGGATTTATGAATAATATAAATCAAGTTGAATATACGTTTAAGGTTTAAGAAAAATTATAATATTTGTTGTTTAATTCAGATTAAAATTACATTTGTGACTAACAATTTAACATTCTTCGTATTTGATGAGGTAGAGATCTTTCTTGGTGCGCCTGGTTAAATCGAATTCGCATTTGTTGCCATAGGTGAATCCGTCTGAGCCGCAGATTGGTTGGTATTCTCTGGTGCAGATTTCCACTGGCTTCTGGTACTTCTTACAAGCACCGTCGTTCATAAAGAATACAGAGGCGTCGGTTTCATGGACACAAGCCAACAGGCACAGGTTGTCGTAAGTGACTGCGTCGGTACCGCAAACTGGATTGAATTCCTTGGTGCAGGAGCAAATTTGGTCGCATTCTCCATGGTATGCCAAAGTGAGGTCAGAATCTTTGCGCTGTTCGCACTTCAAGCCGCACAAGTTTCCATAGGTACGACTATCAGATCCACATACTGGATTATATTCATAGGTACAGAGGCAAGGCTCAAGGGCCACAGCAGCGGCGACGACTGAGAGGATAACTGCTATAGTCTTCATTATGCTTGAGTGAATTAACTCTGCTCTTTCAAAATTCATTCCTGAGTATTTATATCAAATACAATGTTTGCTTATAGCTTATGAAACAATCGCATACTAAATTTATATATGTATATGTAACAGACAAGAAATTACTGTCAATACAATAACAAAAAATGTTAGTTTTAAATGTTTCCATTCGAATATTTTATGAAAAAATTAATCAAATTATTGCATAATTAATAACCACAGCAAGTAATTACAAACATAACTTTGGTAGTATATTACAACAACATGAACTTATTAAAAAGTCAAAAAGGAATTTGATTCATTTGACTAAAATCTACTAAAACACAATTATTGATATTTATTATGTTATCTAAAGGTACTCTTGTGTATATTAATATTTCTGAGATGTTTTAAGAAAATCATTTGTTGAAGGTATTCTGTTTTAATATATTTTCAAACTAAAAGTTAGAATGGAAAAGTTTTTCACAAAATTTAAATGTAAAAATAAAAATTAGTTATTTCATAATCCCAAAGTAACATTTGTAAAACAATGGATTTTGATTTTTATCTTTTAACTTGTTCCAGGCAGATGCAATTTCTGTAAAATTTTCCACTAATTATTAACGCATCATTGTTCCCCACCATTTAAAACAAACATTGGTTTTGTTATAAATAGTCGGGAATTTCTTTTAGGCAATCAGAGTAAATTCACTCAAGCATCATGAAGACTATCGCAGTTCTCCTCTCCGTCGTCGCCGCCGCTGTGGCCCTTGAGCCTTGCGTCTGTACCTACGAATATAGTCCAGTATGTGGATCTGATGGTCGTACCTATGGAAATTTGTGCGGTTTGAAGTGCCAACAGCGCGAAGATTCTGCTCTCACTTTAGCCTACCACGGAGAATGCAAAATTGAAAAGAGATCCGCAGAACCATGCAAATGCACCAAGGAATTCAATCCAGTTTGCGGTACCGACGCAGTTACTTACGATAACTTATGCTTGTTGAAATGCGCCCGTGAAACCGACGCCTCTGTATACTTGCTGTACGAAGGTGCTTGCAAGAAGAACCAGAAGCCAGTGGAAATCTGCACTATGGAGTACTTCCCAATCTGCGGCTCCGACGGACGTACCTATGGCAACAAATGCGAATTCGACTTCAACAGGCGCACCAAGAAAGATCTCTACATCGTCAAATACGGAGAATGTTAAATTGTTTATCCCAAATATAATTTTAATCTGAATAAATGAAAAATTGAACAAACTCTTTATCTTTTCTTTAATGTTATAATATTCTGTCCAAATTCAGTTACTCCAATCTCATATGTACCTATATTTTTCTTCAACCATTACATACTAGCTCAGTAATTATAATATGAGAAAGTATACAATTTATGAACTATTGAACTTAATCATAAAATTTACTAAGCGTTCAACTGCTACGTCTTAAAATTCTAAAAGATTTTTTGAGTTTTCTAAATTCTCGTTGACTCATCAATTTTCAGCTGTAATATTAATAATATCAACCTATAATTTTTTAACATTTAAAAATTAACATGTATTTCAACGCACATTGTAATGACAAGTATAGTAAGTTATACTAGGAACTATCTAATTTTCTAAGAAAATATTTAAATTCAGAGAAATGATTAATCTAAAAGAAAATGTTAAATGAACTTCACTATAAGACAAAAAACTGAAATATAGACTTATTACTAAGTCATTGTATGAAATTACAAGTTATAAACAAAATATAATGATTTTCCTAATAAAAAGAAATGAATTCATTCAGTTAATATAAAAGCATACAAATATTTTAAGACAAATCCGCTTATTATAATTTATCTAATTGAAAATTATAATCAAATAAAGTTTCAATTCTAAACTATAGTAAATTAAGTAATCTTAAGAACTTTGTGGAAATTAGCTTTCTTGTGCAATTTTAATTTAAATAATGTCTATATTGTCTATAATGTCTCGTTGACTCATCAATTTTCAGCTGTAATATTAATAACATCAACCTATAATTTTGTAACATTTAAAAATTAACAAGTATTTCAACGCACATTGTAATGACAAGTATTGTAAGTTATACTAAGAACTATTTAATTTTCTAGAGAAATATTTAATTTCAGAGAAATGATTAATCTAAAAGAAAATGTTAAATGAACTTCACTATAAGACAAAGAACTGAAATATAGACTTATTACTAAGTCATTGTATGAAATTACAAGTTATAAACAAAATATAATGATTTTCCTAATAAAAAGAAATGAATTGATTCAGTTAATATAAAAATCATACAAATATTTTAAGACAAATCCGCTTATTACAATTTATCTAATTGAAACTTATAGTAAAATAAAGTTTATTATAATCCAATAATACCTATTGTTTTCTGATTATTTGTAGCTAATGACAATATCTTCAGTTCTAAACTATAGTAAATTATTTTAGTAATTATTAAGAACTTTGTGAAAATTAGCTTTCTTATGCAATGATGTTTCGATTTTAAATAACGCTAGAGCTTCATTTCCAAATGTTTTAATCCCAGTGTAAATATAAAAACACAATAGAAACTAATTGTTGCATTTTTCTTCTTTTCTTATACATAACATTGTAGTCTACAAAAATCTTTCATCAAAGGATTTCCTATTACGTTTGTTCATCTATATTGTTTTATAAGTTCAAAGTAAACATAGCATTTGATATAAATTGTCGAGAAATGCTTTCTGAAGTTCAGAGTTTAATTTACTCAAGCATCATGAAGACCATCGCAGTTCTCCTCTCCGTCGTCGCAGCTGCTGTGGCCCTTGAGCCTTGCGCCTGTACCTTCGACTACAGCCCAGTCTGTGGATCTAATGGTCGTAATTATGGAAACGAGTGCGAATTGAAATGCGAACAACGCACAGATTCTACCCTTACTTTGGCCTACCATGGAGAATGCGACAAAATTTGCTCATGCACCAAGGAATTCAATCCAGTTTGCGGTACCGACGCAAACACTTATGACAACCTGTGTCTGTTGAAATGCGCCCGTAAAGATGACGCCTCTTTATTCTTACTGTACGAAAGTGCTTGCAAGAAGGACCAGACGGTAGTGGGAATCTGCACGTTGGAGTACTTCGCAATCTGCGGCTCCGACGGACATACCTATGGCAACAAATGCGAATTCGATTACAACAGGCGCACCAAGAAACATCTCTACGCCGTAAAATATGGAGAAGTATGTTAAATAATTGATCCCAAATATAATTTTAATCTGAATAAATGAAAAATTGAACAAACTCTTTATCTTTTCTTTAAAGTTACTATATTCTATCCAAATTCAGTTACACCAATCTCATATTTTCATCGACTACTAGAAATTATTACATAATTTAACTGCTAAGTCTTAATATTCAAAAAGTTTTTATTTAATTTCTAAATTGACTTGTTTATCATTTTTCAACTGTAAAGTTAATAACATCAGCGAATATTTTTATCATTTAACAATTAACATGTATTTGAATGAACATTATATTGACAAATATTGTAAGTGATACTAAGAACTAGCTAATTTTCTAAGCAAATTGAAACATAAACTCATGCAGACAAATGATTAATCATGTTGATTTAATAGACATACACAACTGAAATATAGGGTTGTTACATTGTACAAAATTAAGTTAATGTCAAATAAAGTTAATTATACTTATATGATATCTTCTATTTTCTCATTATTTATACCTAATGACATTATTTTCTTTTCTAAGCTATTTATCAAAATGTTTTAGTAACCTTAAGAACTTTATAGAAATTAACTCTCTTGTGCAATATTAAATTAAGTAAGGTCTATATTTGCAATACGAAATCTTGTTCGGATTTTGAATAACGCGAGTGTTACGTTTCCAGAAGTATTAATACCAGTGTAAATATAAGAACACAATAGAAACTAATTGTTACATTTGCTTTTCTTTACATGACATTGTAGTGTACCAAAATCTTCCACCAAAGGATTTCCTCTCTTTTATGTATGCTCGTCTATATTTGGCTGTACATTGTTCTTTAAGTTTAAAGTAAACATTTTATTTGATATAAATTGTCAGGAAAAGCTTTTGGAAGTTCAGAGTTAATTTTACTCAAGCATCATGAAGACCATCGCAGTTCTCCTCTCCGTCGTCGCCGCTGCTGTGGCCCTTGAGCCTTGCGTCTGTACCTACGAATATAGTCCAGTATGTGGATCTGATGGTATTACCTATGGAAACTTGTGTGGCTTGAAGTGCAAACAGCGCACAGATTCTGCCCTCACTTTGGCATACCATGGAGAATGCAAAACTGTAGTCGAAAAGAGATCCGAAGAACCATGCAACTGCACTAGCGAATACAGTCCCGTTTGCGGAACCGACGCAAACACTTACAACAACCTGTGCATGTTCGTATGCGCCCGCAAAAACGATCCATCTTTATTCTTGCTGTACCATGGTATTTGCAAGAAGGGAGAGAAGCCAGTTCAAATGTGCACGTTGGAATACTTCCTAATCTGCGGCTCCGACGGACGTACCTATACCAACAGATGCGAATACGAATTTAACACGCGCATCAATAAAGATCTCTACATCGCCAAATACGGAGAAGAATGTTAAATGATATTATTATTGATCTGAATCTATTATTAATCTCATATTATTTTAATCTGAATAAATGAAAAATTTAACAAACGATTTATCAAAAGATATTAGTAAACTTAAGAACTTGAGGGAAAATATCTCTATTTTATATTAAGTTATGTCTACATTTTCAACACAAAATGATGTTCAGATTTGTAATAACGCGAGAGGTACGTTTCCAATTGTATTAATCCAAGTATAAAAATAAGAGGACAATAGAAACACTAATTGTTACATAATATTTTAATCTACAAAGATCTTCTATCAAAGGATTTCCTGTCTATTACGTATGTTTATCTATATTTGACTGTGCATTGTTCTCTAAGTTTAAAGTAAACATATAATTTGATATAAATTGTCAAGAAATGCTTTCGGAAGTTCAGAGTTAAATTTACTCAAGCATCATGAAGACCATCGCAGTTCTCCTCTCCGTCGTCGCCGCTGCTGTGGCCCTTGAGCCTTGCTTCTGTACCTTCGACTACAGGCCAGTCTGTGGATCTGATGGTCGTACCTATGGAAACTTGTGCGGTTTGAAGTGCCGACAGCGCGAAGATTCTGCGCTCACTTTAGCCTACCACGGAGAATGCAAAATTGAAAAGAGATCCGCAGAACCATGCAAATGCACCAAGGAATACAATCCAGTTTGCGGTACCGACGCAGTTACTTACGATAACTTATGCTTGTTGAAATGCGCCCGTGAAACCGACGCCTCTGTATACTTGCTGTACGAAGGTGCTTGCAAGAAGAACCAGAAGCCAGTGGAAATCTGCACTATGGAGTACTTCCCAATCTGCGGCTCCGACGGACGTACCTATGGCAACAAATGCGAATTCGACTTCAACAGGCGCACCAAGAAAGACCTCTACATCGTCAAATACGGAGAATGTTAAATTGTTTATCCCAAATATAATTTTAATCTGAATAAATGAAAAATTGAACAAACTCTTTATCTTTTCTTTAATGTTATAATATTCTGTCCAAATTCAGTTACTCCAATCTCATATGTACCTATATTTTTCTTCAACTATTACATACTAGCTCAGTAATTATATTATGAGAAAGTATAGAATTTATGAACTATTGAACTTAATCATAAAATTTACTAAGCATTCAACTGCTACGTCTTAAAATTCTAAAAGATTTTTTGAGTTTTCTAAATTCTCGTTGACTCATCAATTTTCAGCTGTAATATTAATAATATCAACCTAAAAATTTTTAACATTTAAAAATTAACATGTATTTCAACGCACATTGTAATGACAAGTATAGTAAGTTATACTAGGAACTATCTAATTTTCTAAGAAAATATTTAAATTCAGAGAAATGATTAATCTAAAAGAAAATGTTAAATGAACTTCACTATAAGACAAAAAACTGAAATATAGACTTATTACTAACTCATTGTATGAAATTACAAGTTATAAACAAAATATAATGATTTTCCTAATAAAAAGAAATGAATTCATTCAGTTTATATAAAAATCATACAAATATTTTAAGACAAATCCGCTTATTATAATTTATCTAATTGAAAGTTATAGTAAAATAAAGTTTATTATAATCCAATAATACCTATTGTTTTCTGATTATTTGTAGCTAATGACAATATGTTTAGTTCTAAACTATAGTAAACTATTTGAGTAATCTTAAGAACTTTGTGGAAATTAGCTTTGTTGTGCAATTTTAATTTAAATAATGTCTATATTTTGCTAACAAAATGATGTTCCGATGTTCTGAATAAATAAAAATTGATCAAACTCTTCATCTTTAATATTACAAAATCCTACCCAAAATCAATTACACTAATCTTAAAATTTCCTATATTTTTATTATAATATATGGCTTGAGAAAGTATACAATTTATGAAGTTTTGAACTTAATCATAAAATTTACTAAGCATTTAACTGCGACGTCTAAAAATTCCGAAAGATTTTTTGATTTTCTAAATTTTCATTTATCGATTTTCCGTTTGTAAAATTATTTACTGATTATTATAAACTGAAATATAGTGAAATATTACTAAGTTATTATATAAAATTACAAGTTATATACAAATTTCTTGCAAAAGCCCAATGAAAAATGTCTAAACCTACAATATACAATGTTAAATTTTAACTCATCATATTAAAACAAACTTTTCAAATCAAGCGATTTTAAGTTGACCACGATTCCTTAACAAATGATTATCTTTATATTGATTTATTGAAAGACACTATCAAATAATTATGTAACAGATACAGAAGTATATTGGAATGAGAATATACATTTCATGATATTTATATAATGATTTTCGTAATTTAAAAGAAATGAATTAATTCAGTTAATTTAAAAATCATACAAATACTTTAAAGCTAAGGTTCCCAAACTTGTTTGTGTCGTAGACCCCTTGCCATGTTTTTAGGTTATGGGTAAACCCCCTACTTACCTGATATTGATATTTTGTAAATGTCTAACTGTAGTGAAGTTTAGTGTTAAAAACTTAAAGTAAAAACACATGTCAAGTTTTATACATAAATTAAAACTACTCAAAATAAAAGTTTGAATCTGTTATATAAAATAAACGTAACATAAAATAAACTAAGCAATAAGTAAATGTTTTTAGTGAGAAGGACGAACCTGATTAATAAAAAAATATCAACATTTCGCGTCAATTTTGTTAGGTTTAATCTTAAATCTCCTCGTCTAATGATGTCCAGTCTGTTTCTTTTATTTTCGTTAGGAGATTGGTAACAGAGCCAAAGGGGGTACTTTCCACTAGGTATGACGATGGAAAGGAAATTAAAAATGTCATCCATAATACGGGATAAGTAACGGAACAGGTATGTTGTTTTGCAGCCAGAATTGCTGATATTCGTTTTTAAACTGAACCTTAAGTTCTTCGTTTGTACTTAGTTCAGTCAGTTCCTCTTGTATTATGACATTCGTTTCTTCTATGTCACCATATGGGTTAATTATCCACGGTGGTATTACCATAGTCAAAACGTCCTCAAACCTAGTTCCTAAATCTGAATAGAGGGAATTTAAATGTTGAACGTAGATTGTTGAAACGTCGTCTTCCTGGCAGTTTGTCTGTGACAAATTGGGGAACTGGGAAAATCCAATATTTTGCCCCGTCCAATATTTTGCTTCATTAGTTTAACTCTGGCACGAAACGCTGATAAGATGGACTTTGTTTTAATCAAATTTATTTTTATCTTTAGTATCCAGAAATTCTAAAATAGTCTCAAAAAGTGCAAAAAATCTTGTCAAACATAAGACTTTCGACAGCCAGCGTACCTCAGTGTTTTGGAGTAATTGAGGAAAGTATTCAACGCGTTTCTTCGGATTTGGTTTACTGCATCAATGACTAATTGAAGAGATTCATACAATCTAACACTCAAATTTTTAGCAACTAAATAATGTATACGTCTTTATATTATAAGATGTGTATCAGTGTCCACTATCGTGGACCCCCATTTTCATTTCATGGACCCCCAAATTTTTTTTTCGCTGACGTAGACCCCTTGCAGGTTGTCATAGACCCTTGGGGGTCGATATATACCACTTTGGGAATCACTGCTTTAAAGTAAACCCGCTTATTATAATTTAACCGCTTGAAACTTATAGTCAAATAGAGTTTATTATAATCCTATAATATGATTCTGATTATGTGTACCTAATGACAATATCTTCAATTCTATATTATAGTAAACTATTTTAAGAATTTTGTGGAAATTACCTTTATTGTGCAATTTTAAAACAAAATGACGTCCGATTTTGAATACCTCACGTTTCCAAATGTATTAATCCCAGTGTAAATATAAGAAGACAATAGAAACTAATTGTTACATCTACTTTTTTTACATGACATTGTAGTGAACAAAAATCTTCCACCAAAGGATTTCCTATTACGTATGATCATATATATTTGGCTGTGCATTGTTCTATAAGTTTAAAGTAAACATAGCATTTGATATAAATTGTCAGGATATGCTTTCGGAAGTTCAGAGTTAAATTTACTCAAGCATCATGAAGACCATCGCAGTTCTCCTCTCCGTCGTCGCCGCTGCTGTGGCCCTTGAGCCTTGCGTCTGTACCTTCGACTACAGGCCAGTCTGTGGATCTGATGGTCGTACCTATGGAAACTTGTGCGGCTTGAAGTGCGAACAGCGCACAGATGCCACTCTGACTTTGGCCTACCATGGAGAATGCAAAGCTGTAGTCGAAAAGAGATCCGAAGAGCTGTGCGTTTGTACCGATGATCTCCGTCCAGTTTGCGGAACCGACGCAGTCACTTACGATAACCAGTGCCTGTTGGGATGCGCTCGTCGCAACGACGCCTCCGTATTTGTGCTTTACGAAGGTGCTTGCAAGAAGTTCCAAAAGCCAGTGTACATTTGCACTTTGGAGTACTTCCCAATCTGTGGCTCCGACGGACATACCTATGGCAACAAATGCGACTTCGATTTCAACAGACGCACCAAAGCCAACCTCCACTTCGTCAAATACGGAGAATGTTAAACTGTTTATCCCAAATGTAATTTTAACCTGAATAAAATAAAATCTAAATATTGCATATTAAATCAGTAACTTATGATTTTCTCTATTGTATTTAAATCCAGAATGCATTTTTTAAATTATTATTTTATTATAAATCAATCAATAACAAAATATATCATACAATCAATGAACAATTCAATTCTTGCTTTGTACTTTAATGGAAATGGTTTTCACTTCGATGTACTCCTTGAGCGAATCTTCTCCCCTAAAGAACAGAAATAAAACGTTAGTTAGTTAGTAATTGTTGGGAATTTCACTTACAATTCTCTTCCGGTTCCGGATTGCTTGAATCCTCCGAACGGTGCCTGTGGTACAACGGCATCGTAACAATTGATCCTAAATAGTAATAATAAGTAGTTTAGTATGTGAAGTCATTAAGAATTTCGAATTACTTACCATACTGATCCAGCTTCAACGGCCTGAGCAAAAGTTAAAGCTTGATCGATGTTTTTCGTGATGCAACCGGCTGCCAAGCCGTACTTAGTGTTGTTGGCCCTATCGATGACCTCATCGAGAGTGTTGAACTTGAGGATGGTTTGTACGGGGCCGAAGATCTGAAATATGGTTCATAAGTATAGATCAATCTACTAACAGTTGGATTTACCTCTTCTCTGGCGATTGTCATGTTATCGGAGACGTTCGAGAAGACCGTGGGCTGAACGAAGTATCCTTGTGTTCCAAATCTAGCACCGCCGGCTGAGCATGTAGCTCCTTCCTTCTTTCCCGACTCGATCATCCTCAGCACCTTCTCGAACATATCTTTGTCGACCTGAGGACCTTGCTGCGTTCCAGCGACAAACGGATTTCCAACTTTCCTAGCCTTCGCCATATCAGCTGCCTTCTTAACGAAAGCATCGTAGATTCCAGCTTGAACGTACGTCCTTGATCCTGCGCAACAGTTTTGTCCGTGGTTGGCGAAGATCGCGTTATGGGCAATTTCGACGGCCTCATCCACTAAACAAATATTATAAAATAATTAATGAATTAAGATTATTTTTTATTATTACAGTCGCAATCGTCGAACACCACCAGCGGACTCTTTCCGCCCAATTCGAGTCCTACGCGCTTCAAATTGGTTTTGGCGGCGTACTCCATGATCTTGTGGCCGACCTCCGTGGATCCGGTGAACGCAACCTTGTTGATGTCATTATGTTGGGCGATGGCAGCTCCAGCCGTTGGTCCATAACCAGGAACAACGTTGATCACACCAGCTGGGAAACCAGCTTCTTTAGCAAGAGCGGCCATCTCCAGAGCGGTCAACGGAGTTTGCTCAGCTGGCTTAAGGACGATCGTGCATCCTGCAGCTAAAGCGGGTCCCCATTTCCACGCCAACATAAGGATCGGGTAGTTCCATGGAATGATCTGTCCAACGACACCGACCGGTTCTTTCCTCGTCATAGTGAAGAATCCACAATCTATTACAAATAATACAACATTACATTTCAAAGAAAACCCCAATTAAATTAATAATAACCTGAAGGAATTGTGTTTCCGTGGATCTTATCCGCCCACCCTGCATAATAGTGGAAAGTATCAATGGCACAGTTGATGTCAAAGACAGAATCTTCGTACGCCTTTCCATTGTCCAACGATTCCAAGTTAGCTAGATGTTCGATGTCTCTTTTCATCAGATCGGCCAACTGAAATGCATTAATTTATTTATCTTTTACCATTCAATTGCCGAACTACGAAATTTACCTTAATCATAAGTCTTCCTCTTTGAGACGGTTCCATTTTCCTCCACTCAGAACCCCTGGCAAATGCCTTCTTCGCCGCACTCACTGCCAACTCGACATCAGCTTTGTCTGCTTCCGAAATCTCGATGATGGGTTTCTCCGTTGCAGGATTCACCGTCGGAAACTTCTTTCCGCTGACCGAATTAACAAATTCATTGTTAATGAACAGCTGAAAATAATAACAATTGCATTTTAATTAACTTAATTTCATTTTGACAACAATTTATTGCAAAATGAACAATATTAATTAAATAATTGAAACATTTTGGTTTGTTATGGATGGTATCTTAGTTACCATAGATACCTTATGGTTGCTATGAATAAGTTCCCAATAATTCCTTATGGTTGCTACGGACTTCGCAACTATGAAGCTTTATTAATACAATAAATTCTATAATAATTACTGCAGATGCATTTTTCATTCAAGAACTTTGTGAAATTAGTATTTCCTTATCAGTGGAAAATAGATATGTTTAGCCTTGAACAATAAACAGCTAAATTATGTTCGATAGTTTTTGATTAAAAAATCAAAATCACGTTAGTTTTGTTATCTGAAAAAGTCTTATCGTTCAAAATTTTTTGTATAATAATAAAATTATCCGATTCTTTCATGTACTTTTCATTGAAATTCTGGATCAATAAGTACTCATCATCAAGATAAACACTGTAACATAATTCATGAATTTTGCATGGGAGTAAAATTTACTTTGCTTCGTATACATAATACATGAACTTGAACAGGAAAAGCCTATTAATAAATCAGCAGTTTTATTATGATTTGTTTATGCTGAATGTTATCTTAGGTTAGGTGCATGTAACATTGATTACATAGTCAAATGTATATTGTATAATATTTATTTTAAATGTAAATATAAGCAGTTTTTGTTTAGTAATAAGAAATGTACGATTATCTTGTTCCTTCCACTACGATTAGTTAATAACTTAATGGTAATTGCATACTTGCGTGTATCTAATTTTTGGATTACTGTTGGCCATTGTGTGGTGTGTTTTTATTTAATAATAATCACTGAAACCACGGATTTTGAGCGTGCTGCGAGTTGGATGAATCTGGAGTTAGATATAGTCAGAGCGTGTATATAAATGGTTTCCCATTCCTCTGTTTCCCCACCGCCGGTGCGCATTATCTTGTTTTCGGTATTTATTTATATAATTCCAACTGTGTTGATAATTTCTTATGTATTATGCAACGTACGTTTTATAGGAAAATAAATAATGAGAATGGTTTTTTGTTAATGATGATAATAATAAGTAATCATCTTCTGCAGTGCGTGTTTATTTAATACCAAGATATAATATACACAAAAAAAAAACACTCCATCATCAAGAATCGTAAGAAGTTACAACAATCTAAAACTCTCTTTTACATCGTGACCTAGAATTAATAGCAGTATGATCCACTTTTCTCTTTCGCCCATTTAAACCGTTTTTATAAATGAATATTATTTTTTTTGAACATTGACTAAGATACTAAATTTGTAGCAACAAATACCAATTTACCATTAATGAACAGAATAATTATTTATACAAAATATATCTTTGAAAGTTATCAAACAAAATATAAAAATAAGTCTTAAAAACTAGATTTTTTTCTTAATTAATGAAAATAAAGTATTTGCAATAAAACTTGTTAGGCTTAAAAAAAATATTTTATTGAAATTATAAAGAAACATTAATTTTCAAAGTAAGAACAAAATATCCGCCGTCTTACGAACTCTCGGACCTACGAACAAAATTCTAAAAGCTCTAACTTGTTACGTAGTGATAAAAAATTAACTGTCCAAACAAAAATTGATAATTTCTTCAATAAAATATAATATTTTTGGATGATCTGTTCTATCTGTTTTGTTACATTTGTTTCTTTTGTCGTTTTTTATTAAATAATTGTGATCGTCTTCTACATCGAAAAGTATTTGTAAGTGAGTATTTTGTTTATTTTAGTCTATTTTAACATATATAAAAGTAAAAAACGATGATAAAGTGTGGTAAGATAAGTGTATTTTGAAATTTTTAAAATTTCCTCGACTTACGAACGAAACTAGTTCGTTAGTTGGAAGATACCTGTATTAACTATGTTTTCCATAAAGAAATTAGTACTAAAAGTACTTAAATAATAAATTCAGTCTTTTGCTATAGGATTATGTTTTTTGCTTTAAAAAATAGAGAGATAAACATTGAATTTGTTTTTATTATTATTGTAAAGAACGTTCATTTTAATTCATTGATTTGTTATATAATTGGTACAGTTATCATAATTAAATTGTATTTTTAAATTTAATTAAGATGATTGTATTTATTTATATACATACAATTCACTTAATAAATAAATTTTGTTTAAAAATTGATTAAAAAAATACTTTTAATATCTTCATTCGGACATAATATAACATCAAAAGATAAATAAAATAAATTTGTTGTTAGAATGGTTTCTTCTCCACCAATAAACTGAACAAATTAAATTATTTTGGTATACAAATAGGAAAAGTAACATGCATATAAATTATATAAGAATTCCAGGCGAAACGAATTAATAAATTTACAAACAAAAGTGTGAGACAAAGTAAGAAAATGCAATGTTTCGTATATCGTATAGTGTAAAAATATACTAATTATCACATACAAATTGCATTTCTTTTCATTATACGCAATTAACAGTGTCCCCATGGCGTGTTAACAATAATGTCAACTTAAATAGTTTGTTTTGATTGTGCAGCGCTCGACCACATCCTTGGATCATCCATAATCCGCATGGTAAACACAGTGGAATTAGCTTAAGTTGGAAGTAATTGTTGCAAAGAACAATGGCAATGCATACAGCGTTAGCTACAAATTGCGCACGAAATGCACGAAACCAAATTTTCTAAAAACAGACTCGATCGACGTTACACAATTGCATTCGATTTTAGACTCACGTTTATTTTATCACACCAAAAAAACTAAATACAACGTAAAATCAATAGAAATGGTAGAACAACTCAAAAAAAAATATAAAACATTAAGAAAAATATATAAGAAAACAAGTTTAACGTAAAACTAAACAATAATTAACAACTCCATAATAAATAGGAACAAAGAGGAAATATCACATTTATTCAGTTTTAAGTATTATTTTTTTTTGTTCATCGTTACTCGTGGCTTCGGTTACATAGTTACTTAATAGATTTTTGCATAAGCTGCAGTTACAATGCACGAACATTGTTATAAAAAACAGTACAAAAATAGTACCAATAAACGTCTCAAAAAACAGCACTATATATTTATATATGATTGTTTGAAAACGGTTTAATATAAACGTCTACCCTGTAAAATATTGGCTTAACCAATCGTAAAGCAGCGATACTTTAACGTTTCTAATGATGGTTTTCTGTTATTATTAGAATCAGCCCTCATCGGAATCGATGATGGTGATCTCGACAGGAGGATTCTTCTGCTTTTTAAACTTTTTCCTTCGCTTCTTGCATCTGCCGTCTTCATCTGAATCGCTCAACTGCACATACTCTTTAGGTACAATCATCTTGTTCTGCTGCAACACACCGTCTTCGGTGATGCGCAGATAACCATTGGAAGAAACGACGATCTCTTGTAGGACGATCTCCTCGCCGCTCCTCACAATCGGCTGGATCTTCTGTTTGCGTGGTAATCGTTGGGTTCTCACCGGTGCTTCAAGAATCTTAGTTTGGCACCTTTGTACAGGTTTCACAGCCCTCTTCGATAAAACGGAAGATTTCAAAACACTCCTCGGATTGATTCTGTACGGCGTTTTCGTTACGTTTTCCTTTCCCGTACTCTTAACAACGTAGGAATACTGCTGATTATTCTCGTCGGTTATAAATACTCTAGTCTCGCGATTGTAACGCGCTTGTGTTTCTTCATTTACGTAATGCTCTGACTTCTTATCCTCCTCCACAGTCGATGCAATAGTTTCTTGCACCAAATGACGAAATTTATTATTTAAAGAACCTAAATAAATCTCACTATCAACTACAGTTTCTTCAGCAGCTTCTTCAACTATCAAATGTCTGCTTTCATCAATAGAAGCCTCTCCTACATAAGCGTTTACTAAATTATTTTCAATACTCTGTTCATCTACGACTACTGTTGAAATTGCATCTTGCAACAATTGATTCCCATAGCCTTCCAAAGGATCCTGTTCGTAAACATTCTGAGACTCATCATCAACTATTGCATCAACATCAACACTGGTAGCTTCTTGTACCAGATCACTGAAATTTGGTTGTGGTAAATATTCTTCTTCGAAGTCAATAGGTTCATTTGAAGATTGCTCTTCATTCTCAGTTTTCATAAATATACCCAATAAATCTACAATTCAAGCATATTAATGTAATATAAACACACACTTCTATTCTTACCTTCTTCGTCTGGCCCTAAAGTAGTGTTATGCATAAGCTCATTTTGTTCTTTCTCAGATTGATCCACAACTAAGTATTCTTCTTTAAAATAAATTGGTCCTATATCAGAATGATCATTGCTCTCAACATATTCTTCATTGGAATGCAACACTTGTATAGACTCAGGTATTGGCTCATACTGTCCATCGCTGGTTTGTCTACAAATGAAATAATACAATACTAATATTTACATAAGCTGTAAATATTTACAAACCTAACTTGAAATTGACACTTCTGCTCATTGCCATCCTCGTCAACAACTTTCTGTATTCCATACACCTCTTCAGAGCCATTAACTCTGAAAAAGACGATATTCTCCTCCGGCTTACTTTCTTCCACTGCATTATCACTAAACCCTAAACTCTCCAAATTCAATTCACTTAAATTTACACCAGCAGCCTCATAGTTATTGTATTGGTAATTAGATAGGACCTGACCATTTCCATCCGATACCTGATCCTGATCAACAGTCATATCCACATTTTGCAAAAAGTATTCATCACTCATTTTCTGCATAGGTTATAAATGAAAACAATAATATAGTTAATACATTTTCAACTACATTTACTACTTATTAAATAGCTTACCAATATAAATGTCCAAGAAATACTTGTAGTTGCCTTAATAACATTTTAAAGAATGCAAGAAACATTCAAAGAAGGACACACAAGACTACATTCAACTACATTGAGAGACGAATTATATCACATCGCATTGCATTAGAATGAGATAAACCTATAATCCACATTTTTTTCTTCAAACTCAAAATATATTATAATAAAAATATTTTTTATTTTACGTTTTATTCATTTATGTAATTATTAATAATTTCATCTGCAAATAAACCTTAATTTTAAGCATGTTGTTCATTTTGAAAACATGGTAGTTTGGTTGCATACATACACAAACTACAACTGCAGCGGCAAATCATCTGAACTAAATGATAAATTTAACCCTTTAAGGGTTATTTATTCTATGCTGGCCATATAGCACTGGTAACCACTAGCCCTCAAAAGGTTAAAGTATACAGTGGAACCTCGTTTAGTGAGCACCTCGCATAACGAACAAAAGTTTCGCTTAACGAGTGACTATGAGAAGAGAAGTCCCGGATTGCTACATAATTTTTAAAACTTCTGTACACATATTATGTGTATTTTTGAATATGTTTCACTATACGAGTAAAAAACCGGATATTTTGGAACGGATTAATTTTTTTTTCTAAGGGACAAATTTATCAATGTACTAAATAATGTTACAAAACGGATGTTTTTAAATAAATTTTTGATTTAGTGAGCTAAATATTATTAAATAATACTTGAATTAATAGTTGAGATATTTTATTTATGTAAAAACTGATGAAAATTCTCGTAAGATTGTTTTTCTATTATTATATGAACTATAGTCAATAAATTCCAGATAACATAACAAGATTTGGAATAAATTTATATAGGAAATTAATATATTTTTATTATCTTCTAATTATTATATTATATATATGAGAACAAAAAATAGTATGTAAGATATAAAATGCTATACAAAAACAATGCAAAAATAAAACGAAAGAATCAAGGTTATCGCTTGACCATATCATCGATACATTTAACCGCTTCAGGAACATTCATATCATCGAGAGCTGATCGTATTTGATAGACGCTACGGCCAGCCACCTGCAAGAAGATTAAATAATTATAATAGAAGAACAACGTCGAATAGATTTGATTTTACCAATGCGAAATCTAGAAGTTCCTTTGTTGGATTGTTATTCAATATGTCAGTATTTGAGAGGTGGTTTAGATCCAAGATGTCCAACAGTTTCTTCCACTTGCCTGTGGGATTCAAAATCGCGCACAGTTTATCTAGAGTGACGTCAGTAAATTGTAAAACACTACAATACATCTCCTTCAATTGTTCCTGAGTCAATTCCGTTTGAGGATAGTCAATCTATAGTAACAAAAAATATTCAGTTACATTCGATTATATAACATGTTTGATTTAAAAACGATGTTTACCTCTAAGTCGTCATTATCCGAGTCTATTTCTGCTTTGATCTCATGATCAAAATATTTGTATTTATCGATTGTCTTCTGCAAAACAAATAGAAGTTAATCTAATTGATTCATTCATTGATGAAAATTACTTACCAGATGAGCCGACAGAATTTCGTATATCCAACGACCTGCGTCATTCTTCTTCTGTATGAAAGCCAACTCCTGGCAAGTTTTGTCGCAATAATCCATATGATCGTAATTGACGTCGTTCCTCGTCAAAAAGAACTCTACGACATCGGCGTACTGCTCGTTTATGGCGATTTGCATGATCGACCTACCGTTCTTGTTATCGATAACGCGAACATTGGCTCCCGCAGTGCACAGCTGCTCGATGGCCTCCAGATTGTCCGACAACACGGCCAACTGCAAAGCTGTGTAACCTTCGTGATTTTGCGAATCGATGAAACTCTTCACATTCGAAGCCTTCAGAAGTGGACTCAGACACTTCGTGTAATTATTTTTCACAGCTAGGAGAAGCGCAGTGTTTCCGTCGCAATCCCTCGCACAAGGATCGGCTCCGTATTCGATCAAATGTTTAATATCGAGCAAATTGCCATTTTGTATAGCCATATGCAAAACAGTCTCTCCATTAGTGGTAGTTTCATTTAAATAGTGGCTTAGTTTGAAAATATGCAAACACTTCAACAGATTCTCGATATTATTGTTGATATCAGGTATTTCTACTTTGTACTGGTATGCGATGTGTAGGAGATTCTTGCCGGACGGTCCCTTCAACTCGTTGAAGTAGTGCTCGATCATCTCCTTTACCTTCGACTGCGCGGGATTCGTCTTCAGTAAGCTCTTAATCTCGCTGAAAAATCTCTTAAGGTCTTCCACTTCCTTCGGCACCTGCTTTTTCAACTTGCTGCCAGACGGAGTATCAGTTTGCAAGAACACATTTGTCATATCAATGTCATGGAGTATTGCTCGAAACTCGCCAGAGTTCACATTTTCGATGAACTTGTTCCAGTCTCCGGATAAGTTTTCTACCTGATTGATTATTGTAGGAACTTCGCTGCTGGAGAAGCTCAAAGAGCTGTCATAATCGCAACGCGGTCGTTTTCGACGTGTACGTCTGTCCGGATAGTACGTGAATTCCAGAGGATCACTGATGGCCCCATCACTGGGTCTCTCTAACTGCACGTAGACCTTCTTCTCCACATCTATATCCAAATTTTTGTACGGCGGCGTTTTTATAACGATAGCGTATTGATGGTGGACATCGTTTTCATTGAATCGAGCATACGCATTCCATACATCGTCGTCTTCCTCGTAGAAGCGAACACGTATATTTTCTAAAAGAAACAAAATCAACATTTGCAATTTTATACAAATTAACAATGACTTACTCTTAGCAACCTTCTCAACAAGTAAATAAATTTCCTTGCCGCCAGCAACAGGACTTGTGCAATGGTCCATACGCACAATCTTCAGATCTCCAGTTAATGCGCTTTCTGCAAGAGAACATACAATTAACACCATTTCTAAAAGCGAAATATATAAGTGTAACATACTTAAATTTTTGATTTCATTACTGTAGACGGGACTGCAGATCGGCAACAGAACATCATCGCATCTAATGAAAGCGTCGAATCGTAAACACACCTTGTTCATCTCCATATTCCTGGACTCGTGATTGCATTCGTTTATAATCTAAATAAGGAAACTGTTAAATATAGATTAACTGTAGCAAATTTGTTAACGCACCGCCATCTCTTCAGCTTTCGTTACATCCCTTGGAGAACTACTGCGCATCAATTCCTCCCTTTTCAGATTCATCTTTTTCCGTTTCAGCTCGTCCACCAGGAACTTCTTTGCGGTATGAACGATGCCCATGTTATTAAAACTGTAATAGCCTCAATGAATTATCTATTATATTTGATTTACAAATGTACCCACCATGCAATAAAACCGGTACTTTGATTGACCACGATGTCGTGCGGATCGTCAACTTCCTCCTTGTCGAGCTTCTGAACGAGTCGATGGGCATGCGGACCCTTTTCTAGACCGCCGTTTCTGCATTGGTACAAAGAACAACGGATCACCGCAGGTTCACCAAAGTTCATCAACTACAAATCGAAAATTTAATAATAATAATAATAATCTAAAATACATAACAATGTTTTAAATATTACCTGGACTGACGGAAAAGCGTTTTTCCGGTTTCGAGTACTCGTCACCCCGTTCAGACATCCGTGTGTTCCGACTATTTCCGACTTGTATCGGAATCGGAACTTCTCAACAGGTTGTTCCGTTATTACCAAATACGGACAATCGATAGGTAACGCTGATTAAAATGTTTATTAATTAAGTATTCATCAACAATAGTGTTTATAAAGCGTTTGGAAGCCAGTGAAATGAGAAACTTCTTGTTGTTTATTTTATGTGCATGCAATGCGTTTGCTTAGTAATTAAAACAAATATAGTCAGCTATTTAAGTTTCCTGTTTACTTTGATAAAGTCAAAGTAAATACAACCATTGCATTTTTTTAATTAGCAAAAATAAACTTAATTAAACAAATAATAATTTAACTGCCCACAATACAAAGAAATACTTAACTTGCAAATGCAATATGAACATTCGAAATATTTCATGAAAGCTTATTGAAATAAAAAACCAAGAACAATGACAACAAAATAATGACACGAAGGACTTATCTAATAGAATTGCAAAAAACAATCAGTTACCTTCTTCATCAATCTTCATAGTTGTAAAATTTGTGAGGCCAACAGGTGACATAGAGCCTTCGGAACCAGACATTGGTGGTGTTTCACCACCATATGCATATGAAGGATCTACAATTAAAAAAGATATTACATATAAACATATGGGTTATAATTAATATGAAATTTATGTTGGATGAGCTTATGATGATAATGCAGATAGAATGAAATATATCTAAGATTACCATTGTAATTGTAACATTGTATATTGTCGTTAATCTCATTAATATTAATGAAATTTGCCATTTCACTTGTGTTGCACAAATAGTACGAATGAAACAAACTATATTCGATTATTTCCGTTTTTACAGTTGCAAAACTGATGCAAACATAATATAGTGAAATAGGAGCACGAACTTATTAAATCTGCACAATTAATATGGATGATAACGATTGATAAGTTCAGTATTATCAAAACATTTCGCACAGATAACTTCGCAACAATGCTCACGAAACTCATCCAAAACTGCCAATACTTGCCTCACTTGACTATATTTAGAGATGGGTAATTCCCCTTGGTCACGTTGACGGGGAAGTACAGAACAAAATGACGCAGACGTAAACATGTATGCATGCCAAGGTAACAAGGTTATGTGGTTGCTGTCAAAAGTTTTTCAAAGTTATGCAATTACGTTGTTTACTAATACTAATTTCTGTTAATGTTTAACAAAATAAGGATTTAAGAAAAAAATTACATAATTACTTTAAAGACTTAAGAGGATTCTTTAACACTTAGGAGAAGTAGATTCCAAAGAAGAAATAAACAAATACAGTTAAATTTATTACTTTAATTTATACAATGCTCTACAATGCTCCTCAAAATAGCCATTACTCTTCAGGAATACCCAATTCCTGATTTGTCCACTTTGAAGCGTCAGGGAATTCAAATTCACCCTAAAACGAAGACACGTTAGGTTAGGCTACCCAATATACACGAAACGAAAACTTACTGTAATGTGACCGGGTTCGGTCCACAGATGCCACAAAACCCACCACCAGGCGAATCCTCCAACAAACTCAGCAGCCATAATAACTTTAGGGTGTGCTGGTGGTCCAGCGCAACGGTAATTGCACCTAAAAGAAAACCATTATTCTTGATGATCGGTTACATAATGAAAGCTTAACGTACGCATGGCCGCTGTTCCTTACGGAATTTTGGATGGCGGTCCTTCCGTTAAGGGCGCTGAATGCCCTGAGCACTTGGGCCCCCTTTGAAGCGAACATTGTCAGAGCACCAAACTAGACCTCTCCTAAATTTTGCACTTTCCTAACCAAACTTAATCCTGTCAGGAAGTGTCAACAATGACAAACAGTACTGGCAATATGGGAAAACAAAAAACTTTTATTCTGTATATAAATAGGTTTAAACAAAAATCCAAACAATCTCAAACTGGAAGGAGTCCTAATTGCTGTAGGCAAATTGTAGCAGCTAACGCTTTAGCCTCTTTCTTGTTGCTGCTAGCTACGTTCGGCTTGTATTCAATCCCATTCAATAGCACCTAAAAACGCAAATAACGTTAGAAACTAATATTATTTATCTTATAGCTTAGTTACTTTGAATAGGAAGTTTTTCTTGTGGTCAGGACCACATTCGAAGTCCACTGTATACTGAGGAGCGCCTAGTTTTCGCTTTGAGGCGTATTCGCCCAGCAGAGAGACAGGATGTTTACCCTGCAGAGTTTTGGTTGGCTGCTTGGGCGGCTTAACAATCTTCTTCTGTTCCTCTTTTGCTACTATACCCTTTTTATCTAATTTGACTTCCAGCAGCAAAGGTTCCAGGGTGCCGGTCTTCTCCTTACCAAGACCCTCGCCCGGACGCCATCCCATCTTCTGGAGTAAATGCATGCCCATACCGCCACTCACCGGTGCCGCAGTTTGCAATTGGTCCTAATCGAGTTGAAGAAGTCCAAGAGGGAAACATGAGAAAAGAGATTAGGATGAATAGAGTTCCACAACGATGTTGGTGTTCATTGATGACATTCAAAATTAACCATTTATACCTCCTATTATTATTGACATCGTTTTAAGAGCTCAATGATAATATGGATCAGGGGTTTCCGACAATCGTTGCGATAGCTATACCTTATAAGCTTGTTCGAAGATTCTTTGTTAGAGACCCCCAATACAGAAGTTAATATAGATAATTCGTAAAGTTACAATGAATCGTTTTAAAGAAATTGGATACATAGTTATTAGTTCGAACACAAATGAAATTAACGGACAACTAAATACTATGTACACGAAAACAAAGATTACACTAATTGATGCGAATCTTGTTCGAATATTTCATATGAATATAACAATTGGTTACTGTGTCTTCTTACTCACCACAAGTGTCTACTTAGCAGATATTACCGGCATCGTCGAGTTTTCCATCTTCCACACCTGATATAATTTCGTGCTATTGTTCAATATAAATGCCTAAAACAAATTCTCAGGTTGTAGGGACGACATCTTCAAGCCAGACGCCGTCCCCTCAGACTAACAGACAAGAGTTGAATGCGTCCAAGAAAGACTGTTGTAGTCTTTGTTGGAAGCATCCGTTTAAAAGAACAAATAATAGTAACAATGATGCGCTGGGAAATTATAAAGACAAACAAAAGAAAACCTGAAAATTTGTTTTAGACAATGAGGGTGTAGCATAGAAATTACCAAAGCTTGACGCTTTGATGAAGTGTATGCTGCGTCTAAATAGAACGGAGAGAAACCACAAAGAAAAGTTTCCTTACCTTCCTAGCCCACGCCTGGTAACCGGCGGATAATTCCGCCTGCGATAATATCTGGGCTCCAGTCGACCCAGTGAATTGTCCAACTTGCTGTTTACTTTCCGCCCAAGTGTTCATCTGTAATTAATAAAATTAAAATTTTCAATATTTTTTATTAATTTGAATTGAAAAATTACCTCCTTTTGAGCTTGAAACATCTCTGTAATAGCCTGAACATCATGCGGATTCTCTTGCAACTTCCTCATTGCTGTCAAACGTTGACTAACTATAGACGCGATATCTACGTTCTCTTGTAACTGCAATTTAATAAGTTCATTATAACAACACGTACAATATATTGGATTTTACAGTAGCTTCATCCAGATCTTTAGAGGGGAAAGCTTGTGGACCAGGTGGAACCACAACCACGGGGGCGGGTGCAATGACTTCCGGTTCCTCGACAGGTATTGGCTTAGGCAGTACAGGAGGAGGAGCCTCGATAGCTTTCGGTTCCACTGGCACCCATTCACTCTCCGTCTTCCTATGCTGTTGTCCACTACTAACGGGAAACTGTATCCTTAATTCCGAAGCCCTCTCCTGATTACTCTTTATCGGTAGTGGTACTGAATTCTGCAAATTATTGACAATACACCCAAACCATCACAAACTGTATTAGCTTTATACTCACTTTTATATTAATTGTAAGTGGTTTATCTTTAATTTGAAATGGATGATGGAACGGTTGGTCGCCATCGCTCTCACTGCTATTAACGTCAGAAATACTTGATAGTTCTCCAAGTTCCTCCTGCTTTGACAACGTCTTGCAAAAATCCGTCAATTCCTCCACAGTTTTACCGCCCGATCTTATAGCGGCAATCACCTTCTCTTGGGCCTGAGGTCCCAAAGTCAATGCTCCTGGTAAACTACCAGATTTCATCATCTGTATAGCATTCCTTCTTGCTATCTCTAAAAGCTTCTTTTTATCAATATAATTATCACTATCTTCTTTGTCTCTGTCCCTGTCATAGGTTCTATGTCTAAAAAGATAAATAAATTATAGTTAAAGAAAACAAAATAAAGTATGCCCTCACCTATCATCAAAGTAACGATCTTCAGATCTATCCCTATAAAATGGATTATCTCTGTACTTATGCCTCTTGTCATCATCATAATCTTTAGATCTATAATCATCTTTATATCGATAATCTCTATATTTATAGTCATCCCTATACTTGTGTTTTTCCTCTCTATATTTACTTTCTGACCTGTCAATGGACCTCTTATGTTCTTTATACCTTTCAGGAGAATCTTTCCTGCTCTTTTCCTCAAATTTCATCTTTTTGCATTTCTTCCTGTCATCATCACTGTGATTGCTTTTATGCTTCTTCCTCTTATGACTTTTCTTCTCCTTTTCCTTTACTTCCTTCACATTACTCTTACTCATAGTCTTTGTATCCATCTTAATTATTTTCTTTATTGTCTCACTCAAGGAACTATTGCAATCCTCACTTTTCAATATATCTGTAAGATCTATACCAGAACCATTGCTTGAATCACTTTCACTAGAGTTTCGTACTTTATGTTTCTTGGACTTCTTCTTATGCTTCTTTTCTTTATGCTTGTGCTTCTTCTTGCTCTTCTTATGCTTCCTCGAACTCTCATCCTTTTCCTTCTTGATGATAACTGGTGGATCAGCATCAAATTTGCTGAATAGTTCTGATAGGATTTCCATGGATGATTTATTCTCATTCTCGTTCATCTCTTCCTTTCCTTCGCCTCCCGACATTATGAGTATGTAAAGAAGGCTTTGAATTTGTTTCGTTATTAAGTAGGTTAGAATCTGTACAGCTGTCAGCCTGGTGTCTAGAATTACCAAAGAAAGTAAGTTGCCATCAAACTAATTATATAATCATGCAGACCATTCTAGCTATAATAAACTAGAAGATTAAGTTCACCGGCTATTACAATAGTAGTTTAACACATGAAGAACAATATTGTTATTGTCGGCAATGCTACCAACATCAAAGAAACTAACATTCATGAAATTTTGAATTTAAAATAAATGTAGCACAGTTTAATTTTTCGTAGCTTTCCAAACTAATTCGTCATTAAAAAACTCAGTTAAAATATTTTCAAATTTATAAATTAATATATAATAACTTTTTATTGGTATATAACAATATTGTTCTAAATATGACATTAAAATATATAAAATATCATTAAGATGTTGAAAAAGCGTATAGTTTAGTTTAAAACTTTGATATAAAACAAAAGGCATTAAATGTAGAAGTAACATTTTATAATATGTTTGTAATGTGTAGAAGTATTATTAAAATTGTTTTAAAAAAATGCCAAACATTTGGTTTTTATTGTCGATGTATGGAAATCATTTAGATTGTTAATATTTAATGTCGAATATACATTTTAGAGCATTGTAAAGCACGCAAGCGCTCTGTTATTTGCTTTATTTTGCTGTAAGTGTGTCATTCGCGACTATGCAGAAAGTATGCGGTTTTTTGTACTTTGTATATACTCTCAAAACTATTGTTTGCGTCGAGGACTAGCGACAACCCATTTCCAATAACGAAAGACACGAAAATAAATATATATATTAAAAAAAAACAACTCATTTATGGGGGAACATTCCGTCTCATACACAAACGCAATCTATTTCTGTTTCAGTTCACTAGGTGTTATAAACGCGTTCAGACGCTCCGCACTGCCGTACAGTCAGTGATTCCTTTGCCTTCATTACAGTTCCAGAGTAAACAAATAAAGTGCACGTAGTCGCGTAACTACACACGGAATCAGCAGCTACATCGTTCTTCTTAACCTTAAATAATCCGCGCTACAAGGATGGGTGACCAAGGGATGTACTCATTGGATGTGGTCGATGGAAAGAAGCAGGATGCTACCACCAAGAAGTGGTACAGAAGCGCCCCGCACAGGTGAGCCACGATAAATTCCAAAAAAATTCCATTGCATTTGCCAAGTGGCGTCATCGAATTACTGGCTTATCCTTTTCTTAGTCATTCGAGATAACCGATAAGAGTTGGTGTAATAGGTGAGAGCGTGAAATAATCGCATTGTTGTAAAGGCAGATAAGTGTTAATGCGCGTAGGCAACCAGCTCTTCAAGTATTGAATTTATATTTTTTGTTCGTCGCATTTTTGGTTTCGAATTGACCAATGAGGTCGCGTTACCAATTTTCGTCTTATTGGTTGAGAACCTTTGATATGTTGTTATGTTCCAATGAAGTCACGACATTACAATGTCTACACGTACAGAGGAGTTTTGAAATGTTGTGTTCCTGATTTTAGTTTCATTCATTTACAAATGGTACGTTGTTAACCATTACTGCGTCTTTGAATATGCGAATACAACAACAGCGAGTTATGTACACATTAAGCTAAATGCTAGAGGCTCTTCCAAGAGTGAAGAAGCAGGAGAAAGGACCAAAAAAATATGTATAAATCATATAATTAATAACACAAACGTCATTGAACAAAAGTTGAACCTATTAAGTAATTGTTTTCAGTATTTCTATAGATTGTGAATCATTAAAATGTTGCCATCGACTTGACACATCTGGACTATACAGTATAAACAACAAACAGATGAAAACTGAAGCGATTTTTTTTGCATTTGGAGTATTAATGCTTGACCACTATTTGATCTCTCAATTAGCTAATCAATTAACAATAATTAAAGACGCTTCAGTTGAAAGCTAAGTAAAAGAGTTTATTATCATATGATTTTTGAATATGGGTCACACCATTCACATTATATAATTAACAACCCAATTGTGACGCCCCGGGTGAATGAAATCATCAAAAATATGGTTTATTATCATATTTTATATATGTGTATTGATTTTCGCGATTTTGTTTTGGAATCTAGGTGGAGTACTAGTAGAATATCAATGATAAAGTTGCGGATTGTAAACAAACGGAATTATCAGAACAACAAATTCATTATCGCGATCAGGAAGCGGCAGGATGTTGTTTCCAAATGATGGGTGAAGGCCGGGCGAGTTTAACGACATTCCCCCCAAAGTTTCAAGGGCTCGGAAAAAGGGCTGCACGAAAATAACGCGCCCTTCACGAGCACGGAATTCTGTCGTTCCGTGATTTATCGTCGAACGCGATAAGTCTCGCAATTAAGTTGTTCTATGTGTGTGTATGGATGTGTGGTTGTATGTGGTGGTTCTCTTGTGAGTAGTCCATGATTATCAATGAGAGCAGTTGCGTGGTCAGCAGCACAGATCGGCTCAGTTCCCGTCCAAGTATTGTAGTGTGCAGAAGAGTGTGTGAGAGCCAAAAGGTGGAAGAAGAGGAGAAGTAGTAGTTGTAGTAACTAGTAGTTATTATGCCGGAGATATCGCAAGAGCTGTTCGAGACCCAGAACCCGGTCGAAAATGCGGTCACCGCGGAAATGCTGAGGGCGCGCGCCAACTCTTCGGCGTCCGGGAATAAACCGAAACTGCCTTGTGACGATCACCACAAGAAGGCCATACTCAAGCACAGTCCGGTATCGGAATGCGACCTGGAGGGCTTCACCGGTGGAATGCCTTCGGTGGAGAACGTCTGGATTGATAAGCGTCAACTGTCGCACAGGTAAAACCCTTTTTTTTCAAAACCCGCCACGATCGTCACGTGCGGTAATAGCAAAATAGTAATAGCAGCAGCTGACCTTGGATTCGAAATCTTTCCGGGGGAATAAAAATAGTTGGTTATCAGTGATGTCTGGTTGTGTCCGAAGATGGCATTGTGTCTGTTTTCTCGCATCTCCAATTCGACCTTAGCAACTAGCCGAAAGCAAGTTATGTAAATTACGTACGGCCAGAGAGGAGCTCCGCACGGTTTCAGCGTTTTATCTGCGCTATCGGCACCGATTCCATAATCCTTAAGATTTCGGGAATGTCGTGTGTGAAACGATCGAAATAATAATAAGCTCTTCTTATCGCTTGTCCTCTCTTCGCTTCACAATATCCTAACTTTTCCACACCCGTTGCAAAATTCAACTCAGTTATGAAATACTCAACTCCTGTTTGCATGATCGCAATAGATCCCTTTAATCTTAAAACCTTGAATCTTAAAATATCATAATTTTCACACTTGAACATATGATTTTATACTTGTTTATTATTCAAATATACTTAAAACTTAGTATAAATTTATATAATTTAATACCAGCAATCAATCAATTTCTTTTCATTAAATTAATGGTTTTATTTGCACGAAACAAACATCACTAATTACTTAGTCTATTAATATATGTACATCATCTGCTATACAAATTATCGTGTTTAAACATTATTTTAATATTTGTGTGTTTGTTTTGCTTCCGACAACGTGCATTATCTGTTGACATATGTTTATTGTTTGGACTTTGTGTAATCAAGAAAATGCGCAGTCTCAAACGGTTTCCTCTATTAAATTCATTTAGACTTCATTTTTGGTAGGTTCTTAATAACCTATCCATTTTGGTTAGATAATTACAAAAGTCTTAATCAAAATTGATAGTTCAAAAGCATTGATTTATTATCAAACTATTTGTATCTCCAAATTATCAATTTTCTAGTTTGAATTAAAACTAGATTATTGAAATATTACAAAATCTAAATTCCATTGACCATGAAATCCTTCAACTTTGCGTATTGAATGAATTTGTTGGCACTACATTAAATCTGTTCTACTAGAGTAGATTTGACTAAAATGATGACTCGCTTTGTTTTCTCTTTGAAATCAACGTTTTGTATAACAAAATATATAAATTATTAAAAAAAAAAATGTTAGAATGATGATTCAGTTTCAAGTGCGAAGCAAAATCTCGAGTTGCACGTACTTCGTTGGTAAACACATTGTGAAATTGTAAAGCAATTGTCCAAGCATTGTTTTTCTTCTTTTGTGTTGACTTTGAAGCGACTTTGATAATGCGTTTATTTCTGTAGGGCGTTTCGTAAATATTTGTGCGGTAAACACAGCAAATCAAATCGTTCTACGCTCATAACATTCATTCATTTCCCATCTTTTTCGTCTCGCTTAATGAATTGATAGACTCGTCAAATTTTCAATTAATTTCTTTGAACAATTTGGAAAGTGAATAAAAAATCTGATAAACTTTGGAAGTTAGGAAATGAAACAGTATAAACTGACCAGTTTTACGCAGCCTTCCAAATTAAAATAAATCCGAAATAGAATGAAGTATGTACCTAAATAAATAACATTGAAATCCGTCGCTTATAATTTACTCTTCGTGTGTTTTGAGCATGTCGCGTATTAATATTAAGTGTATTTTTGCCCCGAATCCATGGTATATTTTGCACCAGAAACTGCGTGCGACTTTAAAAATACAGATTTTCCCCATTTCACGTGGGCGCAGATTTTTTTTCTCGCTGCGTCGGTCGCGTGTGTTTAACTTTTCTATATTTTTTTTTTGTGTAGTTCGCGAACGTTAAATTTGTTTCTGCTCCAGAAACGAAGGCCGTTCATTCAGTAACGTTGCTGATGGATAGGTCTGTTCTGTTGATGTTGGCTCCGTATAAATAGAAAACAACGAAATGAATTAGCTGTGCTAGGATCAGCACGTACGTTAACATTTTGGACTATCCCAAGCATTATCATTATCGCCTTTATTGCTGCCATCATCAGTTTTTGCGAATATCGACGCAATTGCATTTTGGATCATCGGAGAGGTCACGATTTTTGGACAGTTCAATCTGACATTCGGTTGTCTCGCAAAAAGAAAGTCGAAACCTTTTGAACGTTTAATCAGTAAAATCCGGTATTTCTATGCTTAACAAGCAGAACAATAAAATTAGTCAATCAAGTCTGGTCATTTATTTCTTAATAACCATAATATTGATACGTGTAAATAATTAAAAAGTACAATTATATAAAAACTTCCTTTGTAGTATTAGAGATCAAAATAGAAGAAAATATGAATCATTGCAGTAATTTATAAAGCAAAAAAGTAATATATAGTATGTCGATGCATTTTTTGGCAAGGTTTATGATTGCGTTTGAAACATACAGGTACGAGTATTTTTAATTATCCTGGCTTCGGTCTCTAATTTATTTCTATTTGCATCGGATCGCGCGTTTCGTAATCATTTCGGCCATCCAAAAAAATCAAAAAAATTACAAGCAAAGTGGAACTGTAACGAAAGTCACAAATTGAAGTCTCGTTGCGTAATTCGAGATCGATCGATCGAATTATCGATTGATATTAACGAAATTATGCAAATCTATTCATGTTATTCCTTAGATTTAGGGCATGGAATGCAAATGATGTGCTGACACAGATTGACGAACAGATTTACGAGATTATAATTTACAAAAATTAAATTAAATTTCATCATCTTACATCTTTTTTTTATCGTTCACTACTGTTCTATAATAAAAACATTAAGTAAATGACAAGATTTTAATTGGACATCGCCCATTGGAGATTATTACTTATTGGTTATTTGTTGAATCTTAAAGGTAGATCCAGTGGCTTGTGTCGCTTCAGTCTCTGTGTTGTTAGGCTATTCTCCAGAAGATTGACAGCTAGTACGTTTGGGTGTCTGTCTAGTTTATTTTGGTATAGGCTAGAGTTTTTCGTAATTGTTTCCTCTACTGTTTCCATTTGAAGGTCCTCATGAATTCTCCTGTTCGTAATATAATAATCCTTCTTAGGCTCTTTGACTGGAATCTTTGTATGGTCGTAATATTAGATCTGCTGCTGACTGGGGAGTCATTATTCCGTATGTCCAGACAGGTTTTAAAATTACTTTATAGATCTGCAGCTTGTTTTCTTTCGAAATTGTCGAATCTTCCCGTAATAGCCAGTAGAGTTTCCTGAACTTAATTTCAAGTTGTTCTCTTGTTGCTTGGATGTGATCCTTCCAGGTCAATCTTCTATCCAGATGCATATCCAGATATTTAACTTTATTAGACGCCGG